ACATATCTTTCTTGCTCTGCTCGTAAGACATTTTACAACATTCCTTTTATATTTAATGGGCACGTAACTAAGGAAGTGTGTGTATTGCCCTGTGAAAATGCTTTTTCATCCTTATTATTGATAAGACCATTTGTATTATTACTATTATTATTATTATGATCATTATCATTACTACTGTTATGACTAATTGCACAATTTATATTCACCATCGTATTATCCTATAGACAAAACACCATGATTGGTTATTATTTGAATTTTTATTTGTAAACTTATGTATATTAGAGTTAAGCCTGATGAGATCTAATTGAAAACAATATTATTCGCTTAAATGTGTTGTTCTAAATTCTACACCTGTTTAAAAATTTTAAAGGATATCCGTTTTCATCATCCGTTTCATCAGTATATTAACTGCTTAATGACAATGACGTTAGTAGATCATATGTAGGCAAAAGCAGTTAATATTTTCTGTTGAGATCGTCTTCATCTAACAGAGGTTATGTTTTGACACTATTATAAAGTGGATGTTGTGGTCATAATTACTAATGGACATAATAATGATTCATAGTTTTAGTTTAGTAATTAAATTACCTATCAAAACTTTTTAACCGCCGCTGAAAATTCCACTAGCAGTTATTTCTAAAGAAATAAAAGTCTTGCATTCCCTGTTGAAAGGTGGAAAATTATCCTACAAGGCTTTTGATGCAGTCAGTTCAACAAAGTAACCATACCATTTGGAATTAAGCGGTATAAATTCGACCTACCAAGGTAAACATTTGATAACGTGTCGAAAGAATCAACATTTGAAAAATGCATCAATTCCTGTTAAACAAAGTGTTATTACTTAAAAATCATTGGAATGTAGAGCTCTCCATGTGTGGACAGTGAGAAAGGGCTATTTGCGAATTTGACTGGAAATAATCGACCTAAATCAATCACGAAAATGGTTAAATTGACCTGTAACGCAATTTTACAGTTCATTTGATGAGTATATTTGCTTTTCTGTGTAATGATGCTTTGATAATTATTATAATACCCGAGAAAATATTTTGATAGACAAGTGTCTGAATTGTCCTTTAATGATTGATGGTGATGATGATGACATGTTTTGTTTACACAATTCATTATTTACAGACAATCTAATTTTGGGTTAATTTATTTTTGGTTTCTGACTGTATAAAAATCAATTCAGAAGAAAAATAATTAGAGCGAATAATTGCCTTTACTAAATTCTTCTTCAGTCTCCACAGTTATAAATCAACTCATTTAAGCACAGAATACCCGGTAAAGGCAAATTAGAAAGTGTATCAGAAAGTGTACTGTGGAACAAGTATAATATGGAAGAATAGTCAGTTAGTTTTGCTAATCATTTAGAATAGGCATAATCAATAAGAAAATGAAGTAGAATGACATGAAATAATTCAATGATGTGTGTGTTTGTGTATATGTATAGTCAACAAAAGTAGAGGTTTCAAGGGTGAGTGTAATCAGGTGATGTGTTAGACGACTAGAGATAAATAAACCAACAATTGGGATACACCAGACGTAAGTTCAAGGGTGGCAAATAACAATAATAATAATGATGAAATAACAACGATGGTGTGCTGTAAACGTAAAAGTACCATTAGTGAATGATTATCAAGTAATAATGAATTTAGTGAAGTGAAATGAACAGGATTGTGTAAACATAATAACAAGTCTGAAAAGCATTACGTAGTTTTATGATGTAGACATAATAATAAAGATCTTGACGTCATAAAAGGTTTGAAATAAACGTTTGTCGACGAGAAAGCGTGGGATGCGAATATGAAGCTCCAGTGTTAGTGGAGGATTTGTTGACCTTATTGTAGGCCAAGATAAACAAAACGGTTGGATATACGTTTTCTTCTGTACACAGAGTTCAGGTCTTCTGGTATTGATTGCTACCACTTCAGCTGCTGATAGAAGAAGTGGTCGAGCTCCTCTAGACAGAATACTAGGAATACAGTAGATAACCGAAAACGCTTACTTTGGTTTTATCGAGTTTCCAAAATCTGCCAAGTGGGCTAATAGTGCACTATTTACGCATTTGGTTCCCCTTTTACGCAACCATACGGGTATATGTTCACGTGAGCGCATGGATAAAGCAAATGTAACTAGCTCCACATGAGGAGCTGAATTCATAAATGCACATCGATGAGGCTATCATTGGTAATTTATCCTTGTCTCACTATATGAGTACTTGTTAAGTTGATAAAGTGCAGGAAATATTCCTTTTACTGCTCTATTAAGTAGATATTTTAGTTTGTCAGCTCCATTCTCCTTTTTGTAATTTAACTTAAGGTACTAAGGTTTCTTATCTATGATATCTATCGTTACCCCATCTCTATCGACATATAATTTTTAGGGAATTTCTCTGGATATCCATTTTCTTCTAGTATAAGTTTCAGTTTACACATTTCTTCCTGAATGCAATCCTCTGAATATATGCGTTTGATTCTATAACTGGGACGCTTAACTAAGTTCCTCTCGTATTGAATCAGTGTGAAGCTACGAAAATGGGTGTACCCACCCGTTCTAGTCTTCTTTCTAAATTGGCACCTTTGTACATATCCTTTTGTCTTCTTGGTGAGGAGGACGTCTAGGAAAGGTGGTGTGCTGTTGTGGTGGTGTGATATAGACAGTGTGTTCCTACGGAATATTATTTTCACATATTGCCACAGTTGAATACATAGTTATGTGTATTTGAACATTCTATTTCATGTCGTTTAATGTAAACCAAAATCACACGCTCAGTGATTGGCTAAAGAATGTAAACTGTATAGATATAAACAGCTGTTTCATCACTTGAAAATATACCCTTGGCTTGCGTGTCTTGCCTTCTACTGTCACACTGTAATTTCCTTCTTCCTTACAGCTGAAATGAATAGCTGGGGAACATAATTCATAGTATTCAAAAGCCGTTGTTTATTAAGATTTTCATCGAAAACGACGAAAGTGTCATCTCCGTACCAACAATAATAGTCCAGCTACTTAATCGTGTCTTTGAGGGGACCATTTTCAAGTTTTGCGAAGAAATTATCAGGCCCATAGTTGAGCATATCGCAGCTCCATCAACTTGTCTACAAAAATCACTGTCGTACATAAGCTGAACATTTATTCACCATTTCAAAAGTAACTCCCTGACCTTTTCGCGTGAGGTTCCTATATCTATCTTTTGTTCTATCAGTTATTCACATAGGTAATTAACCGTTTCGGGTGGTAGGACGTTGGTAAATGATGATACTACATCCAGTGACATTGTTTTCTTTCCGTATGTATTCAGGCTTTTGAGAATCTTTACAAAGCTGAATATGTCTTTTACACTGAACGTCACTAGCTCCCAATGTAAAGGTTCTGGTGGTTTTACTAGCTACTTTGTTGTAGAATGATAGGAAGACTGATATAAACTAACTGGCTATTATTCCGCCTTCCACTTGTTCCACAATAAACTTTCTTATATAGTTCTAATTTGCTATTACATGCTGAAATTAATCGATTTATAATTGTGCAGCCTAAAGAAGAGTATAGTAGAGAAGATTTGTAGCTCAGGTGGATGATTTTGGTGTGGTTGTGTTCTCTGAGCTGGATGGTTTGGTTGCGAAGCTTTCATTGCTCTACTGAGCAACCTCTTCAGCGCATACTTCGATGTGAAGTGAGCTTTTAGAATTCTCTATGAGTTTATTAGTCATCTCTTCTAGTAACCTTGAACGTGATTGGTTGTTTTCGTGTGACATTTCACCCCTTAGTTTGCTTGTCTCGGTGCTGGCTGCTTCTTTGGTCTGAATGTCGTTAGTCATTCCTTCTGCTAACCTTGAACGTGATTGGTTGTTTTTGTGTGACTTCTCACTTTCTAGTTCACTTGTTTTGGTGTTGACTGTTTCCTTGACCTGAAGTTTGACTTTGTTTTTGTGTGAATTTCTTCGTATGGATTGGTATATTTTGTCAATCTCTCTGTGTCTATTGATTGCTGATTGATTTGAATACCAGGCCTCTAGGAATTCTCTGGCATTTTTGCAGTTCCCTTTGTCTAAGATTTGAACATTGTCCCAGTCGAATTGGTGCCCGTGGTTGTCTGCATGTAGTGATATGAGGGAGTGTATGTCGTGTCTTTTGACAGCTAGTTTGTGTTCGTGAATGAGAAGACGAAGAGGGCGTTCACTTTGTCCAATGTAATGTTTGTCGCAGTCGTTGCAACTTATCTTGTAGATGACGTTAGTTTTGTCTTCTTTTGCCGTTGAGTCCTTTGGTTTACATAGAACTGAGTGTAGTGACTTTGTTGGTTTATGAGCGACATCGATTCCAAAAGGTTTGAATAGTCTTGCAGTGATTTCGGAGATATCTTTTATATATGGTAGGACGACTTTCTTTGTGTTTTCGCTGGTGGCCTTTGATTTGGTTGGTTGAGCTTGGGGTAGATGTCTTTTGATGAAGTTTCGTGGGTATCCATTTCTTTGGAAGATGTCCATAAGAAGCAGCCAGCACCGAGACAAGCAAACTAAGGGGTGAAATGTCACACGAAAACAACCAATCACGTTCAAGGTTACTAGAAGAGATGACTAATAAACTCATAGAGAATTCTAAAAGCTCACTTCACATCGAAGTATGCGCTGAAGATGTTGCTCAGTAGAGCAATGAAAGCTTCGCAACCAAACCATCCAGCTCAGAGAACACAACCACACCAAAAACTGAAGAAGAGTTTATTGAAAACAAATCTTCTCTCTAATTATTTTTGTTATGTATACTAATCATTACTTTATTAGTAAATATTTTGGTGATTAAAAATATATGGATCACAGATAATACTGACAAAAACATTCACAAATAAAGAATGAGGCGATACCTTATTGTTACTTCCCTTCACTTTAGACAGATAACTTTAAAACTACTCTCATTTGATACTGTTTAGTATTTAAACTTTTATGTTTAGAAAATACAAATTACTCACAAACTAGACGTCAAGTAATAAAACTGAAGATACTTTACTATTCTACGTCTTCATTTGTCTCCAATAGGTGTTCCACTTGTGGAACGTGTATATCTGCTAGAGTTCTTGCACTTTGTACCTTGACGGCGGTATTTGTTTCATCTATCACCTCGGTATCATCAGTACTATGATTCATTGTATTCGCCAAATTTGTACTAGAATCATATTTATCGTGTATACTCCTTCTTGAATATTCACGTGCTGACTGAACTCTACTTGGTTTCTTTTCATGTGAAACAAAGTGTTTTAATTGTACATGTACAGGTTGAATATTCAACAATCCTTTCATATCTTCAGTCTGCATTGAATGTTTGGAAAAAATGTGGTATACAAAGATACTATTACGTAAGCATAATGAAAAAGTAAAATAATTCACAACATTATGAATACCAAATGTGACTGAGGAATTTTAAAGTTTGCCATAATATGTTGAAATAAAAGAAACATTTGTAGAGTATACACCATTAAACTGTTTAACAGATTACCGCTTCGCTAGTTTCATAACCAGTCTTCAGCCCAGGAAAAGAAGGAAGGTTAAACGTGGGGCTAGCGACCCTACCCCAGGAAATCAATACAATTGCGACAGACACTTCAAAACACAAGAAAAATATAAAAAAAAACTTATTCTTCGCTGGAATCAGACAGACGAAATGATACCGGCTGGTGACAGCCTTCGTGAAGCCATTTAGCCTGTGTGTCTCCTCTAGATGGAGGCAGAAATAAGAATGGGAACGTGAAATATTCGCATAATTACGAAGCTGCTCAGGTTGTCTTAGGAGTGAGAAGATATAGATAGGGAGCGCTAGGAATCTGTGAAAGCAGGAGGAATGAATGTGAACTGTCAAAGTTATTTACTAGAGAGTCAGCAGTCTACTCCGGTCACTCCGACGGACACTATGAGCACACTGAGAGAGTGGCTATCATGTTGTCTCCAGCAGCAGTTAAAGGTTTTATGCAGTGGGAGCCAATCTCCTCCTGCAGGATTATGACAGCAAGATTCAACTCAGAAGGAAGGAAGGCAGGTCACAATCATCCAATGCCACCCACCCACAAATAACGCAGAACAACCGAAGAAGGAGGATCTCTGTATACAACTAGGAAGAGTAAAGGATAACATCCCGAATGGCGACATCAAAGTTCTCATGGGTTCCAGTTAAACTGGGAGCAGATAATACAGGAAGAGAACTCATCATGGGTCGAGAGGCTGTCGGAGAAATGAATGAGAATGGAGGACTCTTCGCAGATTTCTGCGCCTTCAGTGATTTGATGATCGGAGGCAGCGTGTAAAAACACAGAGATGTACACAAAGCAGCATGGATTTCGTCCGATGGACACACCGAGAACCAGATAGGCTTCATCTTTATAGTGCTGAAGGAAGTGGAGATGCAGCCTGCTGAACACAAAGTCGAGAAGGGGAGAAGATTTTGGCTCAGACCATCATCTGGTTCAAGGAACTTTTAAGATGAAGCTGAAATCCCTGAAGACAAATGGAGGCAGACCAAAATTCAGGTTTAACATTCAAAAACTGAAGGACTAGACTACTAGGGAAACATTCACTACAGATCAGATCAGAGCAAAGTCGGAGACACTACATGGCATTTCTGAGGAAACTTGTGTGGAAGAACATTGGAACTCTCTGAAGGTGATATTCAAGGAAACGTGTACAACTATTCTAGAAGGAAAGAAGAGGCAAGGCAAGGAATAGCTGTCAACGGACACCAGGAAGCTAATAGAAGAGATGGGGATGGTGAAAGAGAAGATAACTCAATGCAAAGATGGGCAACAGAAGCAGAAGCTAAGTTTAATGTACATTGCATTGAATAAAGAAAGAATTGAAGAGTGCTAGGAAAGATAAAAGACTATTCTACTACACACCTGCCAGTAACTGAAGCGGAACAGTCAGGCCTCAAGTAAAAAAGACCTCAACACATTATATCGGATTACAAGATCTGTATCCTGGAAGAGATCAACGCAGGTGAAACCTATAAAAGATGTTCAAGAGAACCTAATTAATAAAAAGGGGAGGTTAATGAAACAATGGATTGATCATGTGTAAAACTTGGGCACTGTGGTAGTAAGTAACTCCATATTAGTTTGTTTATTAGATGTATCAAACTGTAATGAAAAACAACGAGTTGGGCAATCGAGGATGACGTGGAAATCGATTGATGAGGAGATAAAAGCTTATAGGCAACTATGAAGCCAGCTAGGGAGGACTGCAGACAGCAGGACATTATAGAGATGTGCTGCTGTACTCCTATGTTCCACTTGGAACCCAAGGGAATAATAACAATACATGCTGCTGAAGCTGAGAAGGCAGCAGGCAAAAAGGACCTGAGGACACTATATCAGATAACCAAGTCTCTATTCGGGAAGAGATCAACAAGTGAAACCTATAAAAGACAGCCAAGGGAAGCCAATTACCAAAGAAGAAAGACAGACTAAACAATGGGTGGAACACTTCAAAGGACTCTTGAACCGACCACCACCTACAACTTGTCCAGAAATACCAACAACAGCACGTACACAACTGCAAGTTGACACCAATCCTCCAACGAAAACTGAAGTCATGAATGCAATCAAGCTTCTTAAAGCTGGAAAAGCAGCTGGACCAGATGGAATACCCCCGGAAGCACTGAAAGCGGACCCAGAGTCGACAGCAGATATGCTGACTCCATTATTGCAAAAGGTCTGGAAAGAGGGAAAGGTGCCTACTGACTGGAGGAAAGGTTACCTCGTGAAACTACCAAAGAAGGGCGACCTAGGACTCTGCAAGAACTGGCGAGGAATCATGCTTTTGTCGACGCCAAGTAAAATCCTGAGTCGCATCATCCTGGAGAGAATAAAGGACGCACTGGATACAGAACTCCGACCAGAACAAGCTGGATTCAGGAAAGGCAAATCATGTACTGACCAAATTGCAACTCTACGCATCATCATCGAACAAAGCATGGAATGGCAATCAAACCTCTACCTCAACTTTATAGACTTTGAGAAGGCCTTCGACAGCGTTGACCGCAAAGTAATTTGGAAACTACTCGAGTACTACGGCGTACCCCAAATATTCATCAACCTTATTCAACAGCTGTACGACAACAGCACATGTCAAGTGATCCACAACGGAAAACTCAGCGAAGCGTTTGGAGTAAACACAGGAGTCAGACAAGGGTGCTTATTATCACCAATGATATTCCTAATTGTGGTGGACTGGATTATGCATCAGACAGTGGGAAACGAGAAGACAGGGATATCCTGGACCGACGTGAAGAACCTAGAAGACCTGGATTTCGCGGATGATTTGTGTTTGATGTCACACAAAATCGAAGACTTACAAGCGAAAACCGACAAACTGGTCGAAGAAGCAGCAAAGACAGGACTCCAGGTGAACATAGACAAGACGGAGGTTATGAAAATAACCAACCAACAACAACAACAACAGCAGCAACATCCACCGCCAATCACCATCAACGGGAGGGATTTGAAAGAGGTTACTTCTTTCACTTATTTAGGGAGCATTGTCTCAACCACAGGAGGAACGGACGAGGATGTCAAATCGAGAATCGGGAAGGCGAGAAACACATTCATCAACCTGAAACCAATCTGGAAATCTTCGTCACTCAGCAACACTCAACAACAAAATTCGGATTTTCAATACAAACGTCAAGTCAGTCAGTTCTTCTATACGGATCAGAAACTTGGCGGGTCACAAAGAATATTTCCAACAGCTTGCAGACCTTTATCAACAACTGTCTTCGTTCTATACTGAAGATCAGATGGCCGAAAAGAATCACCAACAAGAAGCTATGGGAAGAAACAAAACAAGAACCAATCGCTCAACAAATATGCAGGAGAAAGTGGAGATGGATTGGACACTCGCTGAGGAGGCCGTTGGGTGACATCGCGCGTCAGGCCAACGCTCGAGTGGAACCCGAAAGGGAAGCGGCGAGTGGGACGTCCAAGGGTGACATGGAGGAGATTGTGTGAAGAGGAGCTGAAACAGTATGGATTAACATGGATGCAGGTGAAAAGTACAGCAGAAGACAGAAGCAAGTGGAGACGTGTAGTTGAAGCCCTATGTTCCACTAGGAACTCAAGGGAACAATAATAATAATACATGCTAGTTATCAATAAGGTAAAGTGAAATCAGAGAAGTTCTTTCATTCCGTTATCTAAGTTGTTACCAACAATCATAAATAGCTAAAGTCTAAACTGCTATAAAAAGAAAAACGAATCTTTGAAAGAAATGAGTGAGCTGTCTTACAAACTTTTACTATGTGATGATCAAATAGTTAAAGCCGGTAATTCACTAAAAATACTAGTTTTCGACTAAAAAGTTTCATCAAGGTCGTAGATATGCTTGGTTAAAAAACACTACTAAGTTTGATCGATATAAGAATTGAAATTGTACACTGTAGTAGAGTATAATTCCACTATGGGTAAATTTTATTTTGATAAAGTCTCACGGTGTTATACAGTAATATACAGTTACTGATGACGTTCCGAGCACAATTTACTGCTCATAATCATATCAAGGCACTACGAAGTTTGAAAATCACATTAGCCTGACTACTTACTTGTAATACCTAGTCCTTTTTTCTCTCTTATGTTAAAAATAGAAAAGTTTACACTGTTTCGTGTGTTGATAACACTACCTAAGCGGTTAGTTGTATCACCTCGTTGCCTGAAGTTCCTGTGTTTGATTTCTAGTGAGGTCATAGGTACGCATCACTGAAGATTCACAGACTAGCATATCCAGTGCTCTTTGGTTTCCAATGTTTTCTAAACCAATGTCCATTTCAGACGAAATCAATACTGAAACCAAATCAGAAATCAGTTAGCTATTTTTGATTTTATTTTTCATTACAGCTTGATTCCACACGGTATTTTCGTACAACTATGGAATTTTCAGTATGTGATATCGGTAGCCCAAATTTAGCAGGCCGACCATTGATATCAGGTGTGCATCGGCCGGGGACTGAACATCGCACGATGTGCATGGTTGGCGAGCGTCCTAATCTCTGTGCCAACGACGCACATGGCTTGTTTGAATTGATCTATTAGCATAATCGTGATAATGATATCTTTTAGATCCAACAACTCTGAGTACGTGAAATACTGAAAACTTTTATCGCCTAGTTTGTTAAATTCTTTTATGCGTTCATTATTTCTAGATAACAAATGTATCGAACTATAGCCCTAAGTCTGCAATACCACAACAACCAGTTTTCGCCACACAACATCGAAACTTGGTGCATTTTATTGTCGCATCACTTTCAACAGATTCAGTCTAATAAGACACTAGAACATGGCAGTCTTTATCGGTTATCATTCAGTGAAGAAACTATGTACCAAAGAATTTTAATTTTTATGATACATATGAGAAAAAATAAATTAAATTTAGATGAACTAATTAACCGACGTCTACCTTGTATTGAAGAATAACAGGTAGTGAAAATTTTCTTTTACCTACCTAAATCAAAAAAAATTGTTACTAATAGATACCTTATCGTCTATAAAATGACTACAATAAAACAGTTTCCATTTTCCTGAATGTATCAAAGATAAGCTTAATGTTATGCCTGCAGCTATAGAATATTTTTTATTTGGTATATTCAACAACCCCCTGTAGGCTTATTTCTTCCTGTAGTTCTACTAATTTAATATAGAATTTTCATATACATTACTATTACTGGTATTCTTCTTCTTATTATTATCATTATTATTACCATAGCCATCATTATTCTAACTGCAGTTTATTCCTGATTTGTTATCCTGTAATAATTAGTTGGCTAGACAAAAAAGCCACTATAAATTATGACTTACTGTAGTCATTCAATTGATAGTTAAGTTTCCGTTCAGTGCTCTCAGTCATTTAAAGGAAGTTTGGATGGGTAAAACTGTTAATTATATATATATTAAACTTGCATTGTGGTAGAGTATAATTCCATTGTGGGTTAAATTTATTTTGATAAAGTCTCACAGCGTTATACAATGTTAATTATATACTGTGCAATAATCACGTTTATACAAGTGTATGCTAACTTACAGGATATACTTTTAGTTTTAGAATTAGCCTGATGAAAGGCGACTTCATAGTTTCCTTTATGAATTAAAATTACCCTATTGATTGGCAAAACTTTTACAGTTTAATATCTATTTGATGAAGGATGCTTAAAAAGAGTGGACTTGTTTAAATGGAAATGGGACAACAGGAATTTATTTGTCTGTCAATTAAAAATGTTTTACTTTGTATTTGCCTCTTATTGTATTTGACCAATGGGTAGCGTGGATAGTTGAAAGACGGCAACTGAATCAGTATTCTAACTTTTAAAGATCAACTATGTTTATGATGTATCTGAAGAATAACAATGATGTTAAGGTTTTGTTTTCATTAGACGACATACTACTAATTGTTTGAGATGAGTAGTTATATACCACTCATATGAAGTAGTAATGCCTGCTGGCCAGATCCAGGTGATCTAAAACACCAGAGGGCCGTTTCGTTCGTTTGGGACGAGTTTATCAGCGATGTACCTGATTTCAACCGTTTCGGCTGTTTTACCTGAGTCAAAAACCTGATAAATTGCTAATTACAACAATCCAATCTAGTTTTAAAACATTCTTGCAGAATACAGGAACTATAGTTGTAGTGGTTTGAATGAAATTCAACTTAATATCCATATAAAAATGTATGAAAATCAGTTTTTAAGCATTTGAGGGTGAACTCTAAGGCATATATAAACTAATTAAGTTCAACAATTATACTACCTTTAGTTTCTACACTGAATCATCGTATCAGAGTTTTTAAACAAACTTTTACAGGATTATCAGTGGGCTAGTTCAGTGGTTATTTATAAAGCAACGTCGTCTCGAATAAAGGTGAAAAAAGCCATTTTTTTTCTACAAAGCATTTTTGCCCACTACACCATAATGAAACTACAGTAATTCAACCAACAACAACAAGCACCAATCACTGTCAGCGGGATAAATCTACAGGAAGTCGTCTCTTCCACTGACCACCTGGGCAGCATAGTTTCATCTCCACGCAGTTTGGATGAGGATGACAAAGAAGATCAGGGTCAGGAAAGCGAAACAGACTTTCATCCCTTTGAAATCGGTATGGAAATCTACTGCACTCAGCATGCGAAAAAAGAACCGGTTCATTAACATCCATGTAAATTCAGTACTTCTGTGTGATGTAGAAACATTGCAGTGACCAAGACGAACAAGCAGCTAGGAACTCTGACATGTAGCGAACCTGTAAAGATCCTGTCACTTAACAAATAAGCAGAAGGAAACGGAGATAGACAAACGCTGAGGAAACTGTCGAGTGATATCACTTGGCAGGCAAACACTCAGGTTGGGCACAAATCGGGAGTGACGATTTGCGTGTCCGAGGGTGGCATAGGGGAGATTGTGTGAAGATCAGATTATTTCTAATGAACAATCGTAGAGCCCCTTAAAAAAGGCAACTCAGAACATTGTGAAATGGTGCTGTAGTATCCTGTTATAGCCGTATGGTCTGCTTGGAACCTAAATAATTAATATTAATAATAATAAAATTACTTTGTATGAAAAATACCACAGTGTTAAACATTCGCCAAATAGATGTTAGATGTCAGAATGTGATACAGTTACCAATTATGAATTTAACTAGTGTCTAGCTTCATTCGGCTTTACATGCTGATATCAGATAAATAGTACACCCGCTTGCTCTCAAATAAATTTCATCCTAGATATATATCCAAACGAAGTTGGATTTAACAGTTTGAAAAAATTTCATTATCATAAAATTTTTTGTATTTCCCAATGAAGATTACTCAATAAACACAACATCGGACGCGCTACAAAGCAACCTTGTCCATATAAAAGATCAAATCCCTAAGGATTCTTTATCTAGTTGTGTTTACAAAGTAAAATGCTAGGAATGTGATGTAACATAAATCGAACAAACATCTCGAGAAAGCAAAATCATCAGTTCGACCACCGAGAAATCTAGTTAGTGAACTGAAAAGCTTGAAAAATTATCAGCTATACAGCTATAGAATCAGGTCAGAAAATTGATTTTGACAATATTGAAATAATCTAGAAAAATTTCAGAAATCACAAAGAATGTCCCACATCATGAGAAACACTTCATATCAAGTAGAATCCAAATTTTCTGAATAGGAATGATGGACTATAACAGAATTTGACCTGGTTACAACACCTCCTCCCCCATGAAATGACAAAATCAACACGAATGTGATAAGCTATTTCATTATGTAAACACACGCTGCTTTTATAATTTTACACATGGCTTTTTTATCTTTATCAATTAGCAAATTTGACAACGCGAAAATGACTCCATGCTGATGAACGATGATTAAGTTGTTATATATAAGTTGAGATTTTGTAAATTCTGGTTTAATAATACTTTGATAAAGCTATTAGCAGCATTAAGTAGCGAAACGTCAGTAAAAACAATATCGTTTTGTTTTTCATTCATTGAGAAATACAAAAAGTTGTAAAATAATAAATTTCATCCTTTCGTGTGTATTGTTTTGACCATACATGAGAAAATAAGTCACTTCATTTATTGTCAATCGTACCATAAGGGCTTGCCCTAACGGAATATGTTATACTGTTTGAAATGAGTAATTTCCGCTAACTCTTATCATCACGATATCCTACTTGCTTTTTGACTATCATTTACGGTGTCAAACAGGTCACATGTTTTGGTCCAGTAGTTTTGGTTTCCAAAGGACACCAAGGTGAATTTTCATCTGGAGTTGTGTAATTAGGAAATGACTAATCTGACTACTACATATGTATTGTCTTCACATGGTATGCGTGATCACTGTTTCTAAGGAAAATGAAAAGCAAATACTGGCATGTTAAAAAATGGTCGCATTTATACGGCTGGTTTAGTTAAATTCCATATCCTACATGATATATGATGCCAGATATGAAAAGAATACACTGATTTGTGGTTTAATACAAGAAATGAATTCCACAGTGACCTGATGGTCTACGAGCTCGCCTTGTAACCAGAAGGTCCTGGGTGCGAACCCGGTTGGGTGCATACTGATGGAGAGTCCCGAACTAGGACGAGACAGCTGACTGTCCAATACTCCCAGGTTTCCCAGTGCTTCTCTAACTGATGAAATCCTCCAACCAATCAAACACAGTCCCTACAAAACCAATACTTGAAAAGTGAATTCCACAAAATGTTGAAATTCTCAATTCACACTTACCAAACTGATAGTTTTATAAGCATCGCTGGCGCTTTTGGGCCGAAATGGAATTTTTTGCAATATCTCTGACTGGTTATATTTTGTGTCTTCAGCTATATTTTGAATCTGGGTTCCAAATGTTCCGCTACGATCATGATCATCTGAAATCCTTGGTGTGTTTCCAGTTTGACTACCATAAATGCATAATTCATCTTTCAAGATACCTTTTATTCTACCAGCTGGTATTGAAGGTATTGAACAGGTGCGACTAACTGGAATTATATTTTCGTATGACTTTCGAGCACCTTAAGGATAAGATTTAGGTATGTTACATTAAAGAACTTCAACTAAGAATAGATAATTTATACTAAAAAGTTATTAATATAAAACTTTGAATGTATTAGTTCTTAGGTGACAATTGACAGTCGTTCACTTTCGATCCCTACACATCTTTACAAGACTCTTATCCTTTCTAACTTCCTAACACATCAATAAAACTTTTTTGAATCTTTTTGTTTTACTCTACAATCAGTTAGAGAACCACTGGAAAACCTGGACAGCTGTTTCGTCCTAGTTTGAGACTCTTCATCAGTAGGCACATATCACAGGGGTTCGAACCCAGGGAGTTCTGGTTACAAGGCCAGCTCGTAGACCATTAAGCCACTGGGACCCGATCCATGCCATGAATCGGCAGAAGTTGGAATTCATGGGCTGGCTATTGGATTGGGTCCCAGTGGCTTAATGGTATACGAGCTTGCCTTGTAACCAGAAGGTCCTGGGTTCGAACCCCTGTGGTGGGTGCGTTTTGATGAAGAGTGCCAAACTGGGACAAAACAGCTGTCCAGTACTCCCTGCAGGTTCCATGTTCTTTAACGATGTCAGTTCATGAAGAAATCCTCCAACCAATCAAACAAAATCCCTACAAAACCAATACTTGAAAATTACTCCACAATCACTAGGTTGAAATTATAGACACATTTGTTCACATTTCAGTTCACTGCAGTTTATGCTTTCTGTAAATTAGTGACTGTGATTCTGTTAAAGAATTATTCGTTATGCATTATTTTTTGGGTAGTTTAGAACTGCTAACCTGGACTAGTCACTAGACAGTCCTAAGCCCGTAAAGTATTGGGCTAGCGGCTCTACCCAAGAAAAGCAATCCAGTCACTGCATAAACTTCAAAGTCGTGAAAAAATCTTATTCTTTTTTAGGATCGGAGAAACGAAATAATGCGAGCTAGTAAAAGCTTTTATGAAGCCAGTTAGGCAATATGTCTTCTCTCGATGAGAGCAAAATGTAAGTTTTTACTTTCCTGTGTAACTTATGTTTTGAAAATGGTGGCTCATAAAAAAATTTCATTAAAATACCAAAGTCTTATTGTATACGAAACATAGAACAAATTGAAATATTAGTCTAGACATTGTTTCATTAATAGCGTTCAGATTTTCAGAAACATATTAATTGATCAGATTACTCAAATTAATTGATATAAATTCGACAGAAATTAACATATTAGTCTGGTGGAGTCTTTTAATTTTGCCGTATATTTGAAGGGAAACATTTGACTTAATAATTACTTGTATGATAATTAAAAGTTAAACGAAACACTCTGTAAACTTAAAGCTTTTGAGTTGAGGCAGTTTATAAGAATAAGGAAATAGGTTCTCAGTCTAGTTTGTAGGCTTGACAGAATTCAGCGTAGAAGTGTCTCTTCAGCCGGAGATTCCAGATTTTTCAGCATTCGTATGATGTGTATTTTACTTTCAATCTGTTCAGCTTGTAACTATTCTTCAAGTATTGGATTTCAGGGGTCTCAGTAATTTCCTCACGATGTCTTCTACTCCGCAGCAATCCTAACAGCTAGGCAGCGTGCTACTTGAAGACATTTAACCTGAAATTGTGGTTAGTCACCTGCATTACAGGATGCTACATCTGCATTGGTCACCAGATTGTAGTTAATTTGTCCATCTAGTCATGAGTTTTGATCATACATTTCTCAGCATATTTACTGAAGAACGTCTGTGAACAGAGTTCTGAATGTACCTTCCAATTGTTAAAGATAAATTTTATTCAACGTGTTAACTGAATTTAGACACTTATCAAATTTAATTTTATAAATTTTACTGTGAGTAAACATAACAAGACGTTGTACATTGAATTTTGGACATTTAATTAGGACATAGAATTTCTGTTGGTATGTAAAAAAAATGTTTGAGAAAGCAAGTTGTTCAAATAAAAAGGTTTTTATTTTGAAGACAGCATTTCTTTTGGTGTAAATTAAAGAAAGTCAGAAATTCTTCTGTAGAGGAAGAAAGACATTTATATATTTTCAAGTATTGGTTTTGTAGGGATTTTGTTTAACTGGTTGGAGAGTTTCACCATGGGCTGACATCAGTTAGAGATAGTTAACTGGAAAACCTGCGGAGTACTGGACAGCTGTTTCGTCCTAGTTTTGGACCATTCATCAGTACGCACCCACTGAGGTTTGTAATCAGGACCTTCTGATTACAAGGCGACCTAGGTTTCGTGCTAGTTGACACTCGTCAGCAAGGCTATCTACAACTTGATGGAACTCATTTATATATATATATCATTTTTAATAGTACTTCACAAATTCATGGCAGCACAAAAAGTATACTATATTCAATGATAAACTAATTGTCTGTGAGCTATTTAATAAATGAAATTATGAATTACATAACTATAAGCTGGGATTGATGTTAAGGTCGAATTCGTCTATAAAACAATTTCTGAAGTTTGTCTGTCTAATATCGCAGGATTTAGGCAACTGGAATATTTTTCAATCCATATGCGTGTTTTCGCTGTCAACATATGCTGAGTGAATGTCTTTTTTTCAGGTATAGCTGTAGCAACTTAATAACTGAAATTTTGAAGGTTAAGAAATTAATTTAACAAAGGAAAGAACTGCGACACGTAAAATAAGACATTTAAATCTAAGACGCTTGTACCAAAATAATTGATTTGAAAATCTCTCCATGAACAGTCTTTTCACAATATTAATACTTATTTAAAGATTTTAACTAAGTGTGTAATTACTTCTTTTTTCCCCTGACCTGTACATCATCGTTCTAACGTTCTGATATCTCACTTTGACTTAATCCTTATTGTTGGTCTTTGCTTTTGGTTCATCCACATGTTTAATGTTTCATTTTACTGTTGTGTTATGGTTGGCTATTGATAATGGTGTGTTATTTTACGGCTTTAAATCACTTCAACATTACGCCGTGGTGTGACTTCTTGGCCTTCAACTGTTTGTTGGAGGAGTGTTTTATCCTCTATGATTCTTGTAAACCAAATTTTGATCCCACCTTACTGGGAATACTCTTACTGACCCTAAGGTAATTTACAACTGTGTCTAGTCAGTATGTATTGTTGTGCATCACATATTTCATACTTGAGAGACTTCTTGATAGTAAAGCTGCTGTACAGTATGGCTGAGGTAATGTTGTATTTTCGATGTAATTTGTTGTTATTGAATCGTACCAAAGATTCTATTAAATCAAAGTGTGTTTTTAATACTATTAGGATGTATTTCTAGAATATGTTTCACTCTTGGAGGTTTGGTAAGCTATACAATAGAACGCATCCATTATCTTCCTGCGTTCAAACTAAAATACTTGGATTTTGGCCCTCACAATGCTTATGTTAATAAAATTAGGAATGAGCGGTTGTCTGCAGTCTTAAACACAGTAGTATATGAAGTTTGAAGTCAAATAAATTAATTCAAGTTATTTTTACGAATTCTGTGATATTGTGGATTGATGCAAACTGATTGGAAGCAGCCAAAATTGAAATCAACACTTTAAGTCAATGGATACAGAGGAAGAAGTGATTAATCCTCAAATCTGCATTTGATTTTACGTTGTGGACATAAAATAACTTTATTGGACAACCTGTTTGACCTTGGGCCATCGCCAACCATTCAGAGCAATTTATTCTCCTCTGACCTAGCCAAATTTTAATACCTATACGTATAAGCTTTTTCTCTGATAAGGGTCCGTCACTAATTCCCCGATCTCCCGTTACAGTATATATTTTTAAACATAAACAAACTGAGTAATTAACCCATATGATAGCAGAAAAATAGGTAAAAGGTTAGTTGCAACTTCGAAACAAAGGTTTTTGACGAATTTATGTACTAAGCTATACGCTAGTGAATATAGAAGAAGTGTTCCAGAGTTATCTTTGACTTTGGAAAACAAAGTCACTTGGTGTACATATAAATTTATAGTAAAAGAATAAGTTGACGGTAAAGAGAATAAGTCCAGTTTGGTAAATGTCAGAACATGTGGATATATTATTTACAAGAATGTATGTTTTAGGCCGAAGTCTTTTAAATTTTCAAGTATTGGTTTGCAGGAATCTGACTGATTGGTTACATGATTTCATCATGAGCTGGCATCGGTTATAGAACCATTAGAAAACCCGCAGGGAGTACTGGACGACTGTTTCGTCCTAGTTTAGGACTCTTCAGTTTTAGGTATAATCTGAATTAGGCATTCATAGACTAAGAAACTGTATCGATTTTCACTTAATTTTGAACTGCCTTGTTAACGATTTTTTTCTCTTTCTCTGAAATAACACAACGGAAGCTAAATACAATGAAAAATATTTTTTTTTACCTTGAAATTAAGTTAACTACTTGCTTCACCTCTTTGTGTTATTTGCTTAGATTAATGAAGCGGAAAACAAGGGAGTGAGAAAACACTAAAATTTCAAGATAACAAGCACTTCCCTTGCTTCGTTTACTATTTTTCTGCCTGAAATAACAAAATTTACTAATAGCGCTGATTTTGAGAACAGCTGATCTATAGAGTAACTTATATCCATAATGCGAGGAGAAGTTAGTTTCATCTAAGTGAGTTCATTTATTACCTAGTTACACACTTGCATCTCTGATGAATGATTTAATTAAAAATTTAAGAGCAAATTTTAACATGGACGGAATTTAGCCATGAAATCATGGCATCTTTTAATCAATAAATGTTTACTACATTCAGCTTTGAAACTTTTAATAATAGGGCATA